TAGTAAAACTTTTTTTTTTCATATGGCTATAGATAGTCTGGGGTTTCTGATCATTTATGAATTGAGGAATAGGGCTCTTTCTTATAAATTTGAATTGGTTCCCAATATATCTTGAAAATTAGACTTTATCACAGAAACTTGATACAAAGATTTTTTTTCCTAGTTGTCTCCCTTTCAATCTTAGTTTTCTTAGAGTTGTTTCTGCAAAATATTTTTATGTAATCAAAATTATCCATTTTATCTTCTGTGGTCCTCTATCTACTTGTTTGGTTATGAACTTTTCTTTTATCTACAGATCCCACAGGTAATTTTTTTTTCATGTTTTTCCAATTTGCTTGTAATATGACCTTTAATATCTAAACCACATATTCATTTGGAGCTTATCTTGGTATGATGTGTGAGGTCTTGGTCTAAACTGATTTCTACCATATTTCTTCCACATTGCTGTCCAATTTTCCCAGCAGTTGTTCTTTTTTAATCAAATTCTGAGTAGCTAAGGTCTTTCTTTTAAAAAAAATTTTATTAATTTATTTTGATTTATCAACTATCACTTCATAAGCTTTTGAGTTTAAATTTTTTTCTCCCCCTCACACCCCAAAGAGCACAATCTGATATAGGTTTTACATATGCATTCCTATTAAACATATTTTCACATTAGTCATGTTGTAAGGAAGAATTAGAACCAAAAGGAGGAACCACAAGAAAGAGGAAACAAAACAAAACAGAAGAAAAAAATGGCAAATAGTATGCTTCAATCTGCATTCAAACTCCATAGTTCTTTCTTTGGATATGGATAGCATTTTCCATCATGAGACTTTTGGAGACATCTTAAATCCTTGCATTGCTGAGAAAGGCTAAGTCTATCAAAGTCATCACATAACATGGCTGTTACTGTGTACAACATTCTCCTGGTTCTGCTCACTTCAATCAGCATCAGTTCATACAAATCTTTCCAGGTTTTTCTGAAGTCAGCTTGCTCATCATTTCTTATACCACAATAGTATTCCATTACATTTATATACCACAACATGTTCAGCCATTCCCCAATTGATGGGCATCCCCTAAATTTTCAATTCTTGGTCACCATAAAAAGAGCTGCTATAAATATTTTTGTCATGTGGGTCCTTTTCCCATTTGTATTATCTCTTTGGGTTACAGCCCTAGAAGTGCTATTGCTGGGTCAAAGGGTATGTACATTTTTATAGTCTTTTGGGCATAGTTCCAAATTGCTCTCCAAAATGGTTAGATCATTTCACAACTTCACCAAAAATGCATTAGTGCTCCAATTTTCCCACATCTCCAACATTTATCATTTATTTGTTTTGTCTTGTTGGCCAATCTGATAGGTGTGATGTGGTACCTCAGGTGTTTTGATCTACATTCCTCTAATCAATAGTGATTTAGGGCATTTTTTTATATGACTATAGATGGCTTTAATTTCTTCACCTGAAAACTGCCTCTTCATATCCTTTGACTTCAAATCAATTGGGAAATGACTTGTATTCTTATAAATTTGACTTAGTTCTCTATATATTTTAGAAATGAGGCCCTTATCAGAGACACTGGTTGTAAAGTAAGGTCTTTCTTTAACAAATACCAGACTACTAGATTCATTTGCTTTTATGTGTTGTATACCTAATATACTCTTTTTAAACCATTACCATATTGTTTTGAGAATTACTGTTTTGTAGTACAGTTTGAAGTCTGACACTGATAGTCCTTCTTCATTCCAACTTTTTACCCATTCTTTCACTCAAAATTCTTGACTTTTTTTTGCCTCTACATCAATTTCATTATTACATGATATATCCAAATTAACAGAACAAGAAAAGAAAAATTAAACAACCCAATTTCAGAGGAAGGAATTGAATGAGTCATAAATGAACTGCCAAAAAGGGGGGAAACAGCATGAATCAGATGGATTCATGAATGAATTCTATCAAACATTCAAAGAACAATTAATTCTAATATTACATAAACTGTTTGTTTATAGCCAAAGGTATCCTCCCTAATTTGCTCTATGACATAGTACACCATTGACTCACACTGTGCTGAGCTTTGAAGGAAACCAGGAATTCTTCAAAATGGAATTAAGAAGTTTGAGTTACTAGGGATATCCTGAGAAAAGGAACAGAGACAGAAGACTCCATCTCCACACAGGATACTCTATATGGAGTATCCACACTCCTGTATGGAGAAGAAGAAGTTCTACTTGGCTGAACTATTTAGTGTATGAATATAAATAATAAGGCTAGAGAATTGTGTTGGGAGTTAGGGTATGAAGAGCTTTAAATATTGATCAGAGGAGTGTATATTTGATCTTTGAGGGAATAGGGAATCACTAGAGTTTGTTGAGCAGATGAGTGGCGTAATCAGATTTGTGTTTTAGGGAATTGCTTTTGACTGCTCTGTGAAAGGTGGGTTAGAGAGGACATGGACCTGAGACAGAGACACCAATGAGGAAATCATTGCTCTAGTCCAGGGGACAGCTGAAGGCTTAACCTGGGATGGTGACTTCATCTGTAGTGACGAGACAGATTTGAGTTAGGTTGTGGAGGCAAAATTGATGAGACTCGGTGACTGATTGGATATATTGACATTCATCCACCCTTTTCAGCAGCAGGGGAAGTAGTGCAGTTAGGCTTGATCACTTGAATTTATGAAGATCAGCTAGGGGTTTGCTCCCTATCTCCCTACTTAGCTAGGGTATTCACCCCCCATTAGCCATTTTTGCTGTGTCTTTTCTAATTTCCAAATCATTCTCTTTGGTAGAGTAAGCCAACAAGCCCTTTTCTGAGACCCTTTCAGTTCTGGATCTGTGATCCTACAATCCTAAGGAGTCACAGTCCATTATCATTATCCCATCTACCCTGAGAAGTGGCCTTACCTCTTCCTTGAACCTCCTTTTTCCCAATACAAATTTCCTTTTTATTGCGCTTTGCATCTTTTCTGTCACAGCTTATCCTGACGCCTTATGTTGCTTCTCAGTAATTGCCTCTTCAATTCCTCCATTTGAGACTGGTTTATTCAGGCTATCTACTTTCTGTCTGGCTAAACATATTTTATACTTTTTTCCCAAATCTTCATCCATTTATTTTCTTATTATCAATTTTGTTGGATGATTCTTCCTCCTCCTTCTTCTCTTTCTTCTTTGTCTTCCTCCTCCTCCTGATCTCCCAGGCTAGAAGTACAGTAGCCACATAGCCACCACTACGAGGCCCCAGAACCCAATCCCACTGCCAATCAACACAGAAGTTCTGTTGCCAACCTGGGTTTCTTTGTCGTTCCTCAGGCAGCCTGGTGGCTTCTCCGTGTGCCGCCATTATGTAAGAGAACCGTCCTTACTATAATAAAAATAGCAATGAAGAAAAGAAATATGATTGAAGATGTAAGCCTATACAGAGACTAAGGGAAAAAAAAAAGATATTCTTGGCTAATGGTTGAGTTAAAGAACAAATTATAGAAACAATACAAAATTATACTAAAGACGGCAGCAGAAATAAAACACCCAAAGTTATGAAATGTGGCCAAAAAAGATGCAAACTTTTATTTCTGAGTACATATTTACAAGAAAAAAAATAAATGTAATTATTTGAGTTGGCAAAAAAAAAATTAGAAAATGAGAAAGAATACAACAAAAGCTAATTGAAAAAGAAGAATCAATGGAAGTAAAGGAGAAATGACCCACAGGTTTAGGCTGAGTGTGTAATATACTTTTAATGCAGTAATACAGAGGAAGAGATATATAATTTAAATACTAAATACATTGCTGCAAAAATAAATTCCATATGGCATTTTTTTTCCTTTAGGCAATTGGAGTTAAGTGACTTGCCCAGGGTCACACAGCTAGTAAGTGTTAAGTGTTTGTTCTGAGGCCAGATTTGAACTCAGGTCCTCCTGACTTCAGGACTGGTGCTCTATCCACTGCACCATCTAGCTGCCCCCTACATGGCATTTATACTGGCTTCCACTACTTGTCACTACATTCTATAAACCTGCTCCAATCCCTCTCTTGTAGGTAGCTTGGTGTATTGCCACCAATTACATTTGTCTCTCTCCTCCTTTCAGTGACATTGCCTCCACTCATCTTTCCATCAGGCCTCAATTACTCATCAATTCTAACTTCCCATCTTTCCCTTCCCAAACCCTCCACTAGTCCTTCTCTTCCTCATTAATCTTTTTTTTTTTTCCCTTTTCCCCCACCCTACCATGGTCTCAATATACATTTTCTCCTCCCCTTAACAAACACCAGAACTCCTTGGATCTCTCCTGGTGTCCAAAGTGACCTCCTGGACCTAAAGCTTTCTTGGGCCAAGATTTACATCATCATAATAATAATAACTAGCACTTAAAAAATATTTGTACAAAACCAAAGTGTTGTACATGTTTTGTCACTTAATCCTTACAACAACTTTGTGAGGTAGGTGCTATTATTATCCCCATTTTACATATGAGGAAACTGAGGCTGGAAGAGGTTATATGACTTGCCCGAGGTCACAGAGTTAATAAGTATCTGAGGCAGGATTTGAACAGAGTTTTTCCTAACTCCATGCCCAACATTCTATCCATTGCATCACCTAGCTGCCTATAAAGGGTGTCCCAAAAGCCTTGGTGGAGTTTTAAGCAATTAAATATTAAAACTTCACTAACGCTCTTAGGACAATAAGGTACATCTTTGGCCAATAAGCAGGTAACATTTTTGGCCCTAAATAAGTCAACCTGGTGAGGCCCTTAGCCACAGTTTGTCTTCAGAAAATGCTGAACAACAGTAATGACACTTCTGTTCCCACTCAATCACAAAGAAAGAAAAAGTAATCTGCCCATGCCCTCTCATCGAGGATTCAAAGCATACAGGGTTACTGATAAAGCCCAAATTAAATTCCATAACACTTTTTTTAAAAAATTAGGTCTGGCTAATTAAGTGAAGTATTAGAATATATAACAATGATTGGCAAATATGTTGATCACAAGGGTCCATAAAGGTCTTCCAGTAACTGGTTCAAGGTCTTGTTCCATACGGTTATGAGGAACTCCGCCACGTCACCACAAAGGGATACTCCAAGCTTATACTGTGTGTAATCAAGTCCATTGAAAGTACCTGCAAAGAACCAAAAGAAGAATATGAGTTCTCTTTCCACAGATCTAAGCATAGGCCAGCAGATTTCCCTCTAGAGTTTTCTATGATAACCACAACATAACCAATGGAGGCAGCACAAGTATTATGATCCTTGTTAAAAGATCAGGAAAATTAAGTCACCAGCTCAAGGTGACCCAGCCAGTAAATGGCATAGCCTGGCCATGAGGCCTGGTCTTCTGACTCAAAGGACACGAATGCAGAACAAGGTATTTCATGCCTTTTCCCAGCTACCTTTTCTCAGTACCACATGACTTCCTATATGAGTTTGTCTCTGCTGGACCACAGCCTAATTGTTTTTTTCCTCCTCCTACTTAGATGTTCTTCTTTCTCCTCTCCATCTTTTCTTCCTATCTCCACCTCCCAACTCAAGAATACCAAGCATATTCTGTTTTTCCTTTTATCTATCATTCTTTTTAAGCAAACAATCCTAAGGTGGTTGAAAGCTATCAGTTCTTGTTGATGTTCAGTCATTTTCAGTCATGTCCAACTCGTCATGGCTCCATTTGAGGTTTTCTTGCCAAAGATACTGGAGTAACTGATTTGTCATTTCCTTTCCCAGCTCCTTTTACAGAGAGGAAACTAAGGCAAACAGAGTTAGGTGACTTGTTCAAGGTGACACAGTTAGTAAGTGTCTGAGGCCACATTTGAACTCAGAAAGATAAGTCTTTCTGACTCCAGGCCCAACATTCTATCAACTGCGCCACCTAGCAGCCAACTGATTGTTAGCTTGTTATAATCTTGTGTCATTCCATGAGTATGAGCCTGCATACTGTGTGTGTAGTCCTCTATCATCTTTGGGAGAAGATAGGGGAAACTGTTTGTTATGAAAAATGAAATAAATGTATAAACAATAACAAACATTAGAACAAAATACAGAAGAACACCTGTATGGAGATCAGTGTGTTCAGGAAGTACCAAGAGAGGAAGATGGGGGAACATTTTACAATGGACAAATAGGTGGAGGCTTTCAATTTGTAGTGCGTGATTTGGATGGGAGTAGTTACTAACACTAAGAGACAGTTACTTTCCACTAGGAAAGAGTGGAATAAGATATGGTTCTCTTCAACTTCAATCCTCTGGCATTTGAAGTCCTTAACAACCTGGCCACAATTTACCTTTCCAGCCTTCTTATGCCTTACTGACTCTCCTTTCTCACACTCGATGGTCCAGACTAACTAGCCTTCTTACCATTCCTCACATATAACCCTTCTACTACCATCTTCATACTTTTGCAATGACTATTCCCCAGATCTAGAATACATTCCCTCCTCACTCTTAATTCTTAGAATCATTCATTTCCTTCAAGACTCAGGTCAAACACCACCTTCTACATGAAGCCTTTTCTCATGCCTACCCATCCCTATCTAAACCACCTCATATTCATTGATTTAATATGCTATATATGGATTAAATGAGGTAATTGTAAAAGTGCTTATCACTGTGCCTGGCTCAAAGTAGGTACTAAATAAATGTTTCTTCTTTTCTATTATATATGCCTATATATGTATGTGCATGTATGTATGTGTATATTTATGTCTATATGTATATATCTACATTTAGTTATATCTATATCTGTATCTATGTATATCCCTATATATACACATATATATCTTTTTATATCTATATATAGATATATATCTCTATATCTCTATCTATCTAGTTTCTCACAACAGAATGCAAGCTCAATGGGAAAAGGGGCATTTACTTTTCTCTTTGTTTCCTCAGCTCTTAGCACATAGCAGACTCATAATAAATGCTTATTGAGGGTTTTGTTTTTCTTCCTTTCTCGATGGATCAGAGAGTGAAAGGTGGGAGGGAGAGAATTGAAAATAAAATTGAATTTAAAAAATAAATGTTTGTGGAATGACTGATTGATTATTTCTCCTGGAAGTCAATCTTCCAGGTAGTTTTTTTTTTCCTTTTTCAAAAGTGGCCATCTAATGGAGACTTTGTCCAAATTTCTAGACTTAGGAATGAAATGTTAGGATTAACAGCCTCGGTCTCTCCCATGTATCCCATTTTCCCTTTCCCAGTGAGCCTGAGCTAAAGTGGTAGGAGTTATGGTTGGGGAGGTAGGGCACCAGGAAGGCAAACACATGAACAGAGTTCCAAGGGCTCACCCCTTAGACATTTCACTAAGACCATTCATTAGTCACAAACCTGTGTTGTCTGGTCATGCTGAAAGTTGGTTAAGGGGAAATTTTGGTGGTTGTAAGTAATATCGACGTGGGTAATAGGGGCAGTGCCTGCTCCCCATATGTAAATATAGCCCAGCCACAGTGGTCTCGTGGCTACGACGTATTGATTGTGAACAATGTGGTTCTCCAGTTTGTTCTGTGAAAAGAGAGAAACATTGGAGATGGGGAGGAGAGGAAATTATGAAGCCACTTTATCTCACTTCATTCCCCTTCATTCCTTATCGAATAGCCTACAGTTACTACAAATACAATCAGTCCATTTCTCCCTTTCTCAAGAATTTCTTTTTCCTTCCTACTGACACAGAAAAGTGGTATTGAATTACCTCTATTTGCTGATGGGGAAACCAAGGCACTACTAGTTAGGTCAAAAAATGAAGAAAATTTCAAGGTCACTGCCTTTATCCTTACCAGGATACTATCACGGGATAACCAGGGCTATCTAGGTGCCTAGCAATGAATACATCTGTATCGCCTGACAGGTATCTACTGACTCAAAGAACATTTAGTGAGCACCTGTTCTCTGCCTCAAACTTAACTAGATCCTGTGAGAGACAAAGTCACTGATTTCAAATTGTGGAGACTTAAATAATAGACCTACTGGGTGGGAAAAGAATTTAGAAATAACTTAGCCCAGCCTTCTCAATTTACAGATGAGGAACCTAGGTCCTAAAGGAGCAAACTGACTACTCAAGATCATATAGATAGAACTCTGGCCCTCCAAGTTGATGAGGAGAGAGAACACACTTACAAATGGGGAAGAATCATAAGGCACTATAGAAAGACAGAGAAGGCACACTTTAAGGAAGCAGCTTGGTTCAGGGGAGAGACCATGGACATTATGAGTCAGGAAGACCTGAGTCCAAGTCAGACTATATGATCCTAGCTATATGATCCTAGGCAAGTTACTTAATGACTCTCAGACTCAGTTTTCTCATTTGTAAAATGGAAATAATAATAGCACCTACCTCACATATTGTGAGGATCAAATGAAATTATATAAAGGGATATATAAATAACAGCTATTGTTATTAAGGAGTTGCCTGAGGCACACATTGGTTACATGACTTGTCCAGAGTTACACAGCTAGTATTAAAGGTGGGTCTTGAAGCCAGGTTTTACATATTCCCAGCCTGTGCTCTATCTACTGGACCATCTCTGCAAATGGTATAATATGGGCCTTTAATATCATTAATAACACTTACCTGTCTAACAGAAAAGTTTGCCAAGTAATACCATCCTTCTTCATATGTATCTGCAGATAAACAGTACATTCAAGAGGGTCATCACGTATTCTCTGACTACTTCCCAGCTCCAAGCTTCACCTATCACCGCCTCCCCCTTCCATTCACCAGTAGGGTCAGAGGGACTTTGAAGGTATATGAACAAAAACATTCCCATTGAAAGCCAACGTGCTGAGTGACTGGAGGACACTTTCCCTCAAACACCTACATCTCCATTACTCTATTCTCTCAATTGCTCCTTACAGTGTTGCAATCTCCTTTTTCTCCATTTTATACCTACTCTTTGGGTATTGATGATCATGTCTACTGGGCATGGCCATTGCCATTGTTAAATCATTATATGGTCCCAGTGTGATATAGAAGTAAGCAAAAATGCCTCTTGAAAAATTAATTCAAGTTTATTTTCCAACCAACTCTCCAATGTTGGGATGTGCTATGGTTGTCAATAACAAAAGGAAAGAGTCAGGAGCCTAGTCATGGGAGGAGCTACAGATTAGAAGAGGACAATCAGAGTGAAATGAATGTGGGAGAGATAAGGGAACTCTGGTGGATTTCAAGGTCAAGCTGACCTGAGGATGCCATGAGAAAACGGAGGAAAAGATAACAAGATTTATTGACTCATTAGATGAATGGGAGGAAAGCTCAAAAGAGCTCTGGGGATCATGGGCATTTGGGCTCTATTTAAATGCTTTAAGGATCCATGATGATTAAAAAAAATTCCAATTACATGTAAAAATGTCTAAGGATTCATGCTAATTTTATCGATACTGATACTTCCTCCCCTGAGGCAGATCACAATACCTCCACATCTTACTAAACTGTCTTCTGGGGTTGCTGTGGCTGAAATTATAGTAAACACTCTCCACGACCCTCTGGTTCTGGGTTTGGCTAAAGTGATCCTGAGACAACTGACATGGGGTCTTAGATCCAGAGTGAGAAGGGACCTCTGAGGCTGTCTTGACCAACTCTCTCATTTTACAAGTGAAGAAGCTCTCAAGAGATTACATTACATAGGTAGTAAGCATCAGAGGCAGGTTTTGAAGGCAGGTGGTTTGACTCCAGAGCCAAAACTCTTTGTCCTATTTCTCAAGTAGATAGATACGTGGAAATCCCTGACCTAAGCTCATCATCCCTGAAGAATCCCTAGTATGATAGGATTCCTAAAGCATTTGTTTTGTTGCTAGACTTTTGAAAACCCAGGTGATTCTCTTCACTAGCAACAAGGCAACAGGATACCTTCTTGGTGGAGCAAACATGTAACTGGAAGAATTTTTCGTGTATTATTTCGTGTAGTAGTTGAGGGTGGTTGGGCTTACCCATAGATCATGACGCTTTCCTCTTATTAATTAGAAGGTTTCTGATGATTAAGATATAGCCTATTTAGAAGCTACAAATAAAACATGACCACGTACATGACATGTCTGTATCCAGTCACTGCTTAAACTAACAATTAAGGTGTTAGTCGGGTGATGGTGGTGCTACTTTGGATTTATTCTCACTACACAATACCACTGCCAACAAGTGCTCAGGAAAGGTAAAGTGTGTTCCACATACTCCAGGGGACCACTATGTTGCTCCTAATAGCAACAACTACTTGGGAGAGAGAACAAGTGTTTATCTCAGCTACAGCTGGGGATAAAACTACCACCAGTACCACCAGGAACAATCATTATGCTTCTGCCAAAAAGGTTAGGTTTTTCCTGATCTGGATGGGACCACGTGTTCCTCTTTCAGTGAGCCTTCCTAGAGTACACTAATCCATCACAGCCATGACTTATGTAAGGGGCTTATTAGCCACATGAAAACTATGTCCCAGTAACAAAGAGGGTACTTGGGCTTGTTTTGCAATCTGCTTTCCTTTCTTTTTTATTCTTTGTCACAAGCAATGGATTGATGGAGAAGGGAAAGGAGATATAATCAGAAATAAATAAAATATATTAATTTAAAAGATATTAATTAAAAAAAAACCTTTTCTTATAAGACTTCATTCCTGTTTCTTGCTGTGGTAGTAGTTTGGGTAGCTGGGCCCTGGGGAGTAACTTAGGGCTTATCTACCTTTAACTGGGTCAAATCTCTAGACATACAAATTTTCTGTCAATAATAGGATAATGGATGGAAGAGACCTTAGAATTCATCAAGCCCAATCTTTCATTTGATAGATGAAGAAACTGGGGTCCAAAGACATTAAATTACTTGTTCAGGGTCACACAGCTAAGCAGGATTTGCACCCACAACTTCCAGACTGCACATCTAATGCCCTATCCAGTACACCATGCTATGGCTAGACCTGGCTTTAAAAATAAAACTTTATAAGTGGTTTGAGCTTGAAGAAGAAAAGGACAAAATAGTTCTGTAGCATGTATAAGTCTTCTGATGGGGCAATTAGACTTTGCCTAGGCAGCCCCTACTCACTGATGCTCTGTCCATCATCCCAGAAGAGCCAGCCTTCAGCTTTTCCTTCATCATCCAAGGCAGCTGTGAGACTCATAGGGTTTTGCCGGCTGTTAGCATAAGAAAAAATGGTTACACTCACACCCACCAAGTACATTTTAGTTATAACAATAATAGTACTAGCTAGGATTCATATAATGCATTAATGTTCACAAAGCACATCATATATGTTACCTCATTTGATCTTTACAACAGCTCTCCCCCACATGCTACTATTATCCCCAATTTTCAAATAAGGAAATTGTGGCAGATAGCAGTCAAATGATTTGCCTAGGGTCATACAGGTGTTTACCACTAGGGAAAGAATTGGCAAACCACTCCAGTATCTTTGCCAAAAAGCCCCATGGACAAAAGTCCACAAGGTCACAAAGAGTTGGACACAACTGAAGCATTTGAACAACAACACAGTCACTAAATGTTGTAGGCAAGATTTGAACTCAGGTCTTCCTGACTTCAGGCCCAAAACTCTATCCACTCTACCACCTAGCTGTCTTTAGAGCATATGATATTATGATACATTTTTGCAAGGAAGGGAATTAAAATTAAAATTTGTTGTTGTTCAGTCATTTCCAACTCTTTGTGACCCCATGGACCACAGCATGCCAATACTGTCTTTGGGGTTTTCTTGGCAAAGATACTGGAGTGGTTTGCCATTTCCTTCTCCAGTAGCTTAAGGCAAATCAAGGTTAAGTGACTTGTCCAGGGTCACACAACCAGTGTCTGAGGCTGGATTTTTAACTCAAGTCTTTATGACTCCAAACCCATCTCTCCATCCACTGAACCATCGAGCTGCTCAAATATTCAAGTTAAAGTGCCAATAACATCAGTCTACTCCTATATGTGTCCTAATGTATCCATCTACTCATGTGCGACCTACTATTTCAGGCTGGCTAATCCAGCCATTCTTCATCTTACTATCCAGGCAACTTCTCACAAGCAAAGTTGATGATATACATGTATCCCTCTACTCCACTCTTAGTTTCAGTTCTAGAGCCATAATTAAAACAATCCAACTATATTACAACTTCTACTGGAAAGGGTGTATCAACCTATTCCCCTAGGCTCCACTCACCATCCTTCCATTGCTATAACTTACAAATAAAAGTACCCATCGTTGTCCAGTTTTTCCCTACCTGTGCTGTCTCTTTCTGTTAACAATGTAAGTGCCTTGAGGGGAAAGACTATTTTCAATTTTGCATTTGTATTCTCAAGGCTTAGCTCATTGGTTAGCCTACGTCATATCTGAAGCTTCGTGACCCCATCTGGGATTTTCTTGGCAAAGATTCTAGAGTGGTTTGCCATTTCCTTCTCCAGCTCATTTTACAGATGAGGAAACTTAGACAAACAGGGTTAAGTCACTTGCCCAGGATCCCACAGCTAGTAAGTGTCTCGAGGCCAGATTTGAACTTGCATAAAGTCACGAAGATGAGTCTTCCCAACTCCAGGTCCAGCACTCTATCCACTGCATTACCTAGCTGCCTAGCTTGGCCAATAGTATGTGCTTAATCAATGGCTTTTAATTCATCTAGTCCAGCACCCTCATTTTATGGATCAGAAACCAAAACCTAAGTGAAGTCTAAGGTGTAGCCCTAAGCAAGTAACTTAACCTCTGTCTAGTAGAGCTGGGATTCAAACTCAGGTACTGATCAGAAAACCAGTACTCTTTACATTGTGCCTTAAGAAGTGATAGGATCATAGATTTCAAACTGAAAGGGGCCTTTGAGGCCAGTTAATCTAATGCTCTCATTTTTTAGATGAGGAAGTTGAGGACCAGACAGGTTAAGTGAATTTGTGCTATGGTAAAGGTAGGATTTGAACTCAGGTCCTGTGACTCTATATTCAGCTCTTTTTCTACTGTACCATGCTGTTTCTTATTATCTTTGGCCCTAGAATCCGTAAATCCTTTATTGGATATGCCTTAATGGCTTTAAAAGCATTAGCCTTCCCAGCATCCCAGAAACATAGGAAATGACAGCAGAAGGAGAGTTAACATTTTATTCAAGATTGCCATGAATCAGGTGACAGCCATTTCCCCTGCCTTCCTGCCCCAATCCCAAAGTCCAGCAGCCACTCCCAAATTTTACCTCTTTTCAACCAAAACTGAGAATGATTTATAATAGTCAAAGAACTTGGTGTAAATTGAGTCAAGGAGTTGCTACACTCCATTAGAAATTAATGTTGAAATTAATGTCTCCTAGGAAAGGTGGTGTACATAGGGAAAATCTCAAGTCTCTTACTCACCTGTAGTAGGTGTTATTGGCGGGTTCTTGCCATGGAAGGATGTAGCCCCCACGGACATGAAGATTAATGTGGTTAAGGGGAGCTAATAATACTGTAAACTGTCTCCTCAGTCTTATGTCCAATCCCTGTGGCAAGAAACAGGAGGGGATAATGAGAGACAGTATTTGCTTAAGTATTTCACTTTAGCTGAGTAATAACATGGCAGAATAAAACAGTTTCATGCCCTCCTATTCATTTTACTGGACTTTATTCAGAGTGACACATAAGCCACATAGAGGCACTGCTACACCCTGAACTAGTATGCTTCCACCTGGGAGATCTGTCCTTTGGTATTTACCTTTCTCCAGTCCTAATTTCAACTCCCCCACTGTCCCATATCCACTGAATCTGCCTATCACCCTAAGCGAAACTACAACCTTTACTTAACTGAAATCTAAAGGCAGAGTCAGAGAAGAGTGACTACCTAACCTGGACATCCAGGTCAACTGTTTCATAGTTTCCCTCATCATCAAGTTAGATATTCTACACATCTTTAAGCTTAAAGAGACACTACATATCCTTTACCAACCCTTATTTTTTAGCTCTTGTGCCTGGATCTTTATTCTTGTATCTTCTGGAAAAGAACAAAAACAGAACACACAAATATAGGCATTGAAAATTCATTCTGTCCAACTCAATTGGGCCACAGCTCAGCAGTGTGTTGGGACCATGGTGAACATCACAGTCCAATTTGGCCAGACCATAGAGCAAATCATGGAGAATATGCAGAAAGTAAGTTGGGACCAAAGTATAAATAGATGGTCTTCAATGCCAGGCTATGCCAGATACAACTGGGAAAGTTTTTGAGCTTGGGGGGTAACATAATCATAAATATACATTATGAAAATTCTGGAAGAAAGATTGATAAGAAGAGAGACTAGGTGCAGGAAGACAAGTTAGAAGGCTCTTGCAATGCACCAATTCTAATGGAACAAGAGTCTAAACTAGTGTGGTCGCAGTGGCAATGGAGAAAAGAGGACAGATATCAAAGACAAAATGGAGATAAACTATTCAGGACTTGGCAGTTCTTGGTGGGGTGGTAAGGGAGAAACAACAATCAAAGATGACTTCAAGGTTTCAAGTCCAGGTTACAGGGAGAATATGGCAGCATTATTAATAGAAATAGAAAAATTTGGAAAAGGGAGAGTTTAGAGTGAAAGATGTGCGATCTGTCATGGTCACATTTACTGATGCTGACGTCAAACAAACAGTTAGAAATTCCATAGTGAGTGTGGGTCAGGGCTACAAACATAAATGTAGAAATTATTCACTTAGAAATGATAGTTCAAGCCACAGAAATGAGTAAGATCACTGAACACATATGGAAAGAAGTAGCCATGGAAAGAGCCTTGGAAACCTCCTCTGTTTTGGTATTCAGAGGAGGAAGAAGGTCATTGATAAAGACAGACAGAGACAAATAAATCAGAGTGGTAGTAGGTGTGTGAGGAAATAATGGAAGAAAAGAAACCCAGGCAAAACAGACAGCCAAGAAGGATATGATGCAACAAAGAAGGGCAGTAACTGCAAGGACTGAGAAAGGGCCCTGGATTTGGCAATTATAAGATCAATAACTTTCAGTACTCCTCTAGAGAAGAGATTGTCATTTTGACTTCAACTCAACATTATTTACTTTACAACTTCCCTTATCAAGCTTCACTTCACTTCCTGAAAAAGACAGATACTTCATCTTTTCAAGGACTAACATCTATATTAGAGATTCCATCCGCACTCTAGAATCCAGAGGGACTCTACCTCAACCCTTAGCATTTTCCAACATCTTCAATAACTCTCTGTTGTCTCTTTCCCATCTCTGAACTTAAAGAAAAATTATCTTGACCGTGCTCAATTCCTGTAGTTGTTGTCTTATTTATTTCTCTTCATGTTTTCGTGGTAATACTTTCAATTTTAACATGGATTGCCTCCATTTCCTTAATGGAGCTTCTATCCCTATCATTCCACAGAAATTTCACAATTATTGGGAACTCCACACTCTGAAAAGAAAAGGTTATGGATCCATTAACCCTGATCCTTAGGTCAGGAGGCTGGGCTCCCTTAAAACAAGCTGGCTACTGCAGAATAGCCCCAGTTGCATAGCAAAATAGCAGAGTCATACACAAATATTCTGACTGAAGGCAGGTGCATTCCAGTAGGAAGAGAGTGACTGTTGTGTCATTCAGTCATACCCAACTTTTCCTGGTTTTCTTGGCAAAAATACTGGTTTACCCTTTCCTTTTCCAGTGTGTCTCCATTATACAGAGGTGGAACAGAAGCAAAAAGGGGTTAAGTGACTTGACCAGGGTCACACAGCTAGTAAGTGTCTGAGCCAAGGTTTAAACTCAGGTCTTCCAGACTCCAGGGATGTACTCTATCCACTGTGCGACCTAGCTGCCCAAGAGAGTTATAGTGAGTCGTTAAAATGACTACAGTTCAGGACTCAGGGCTTAAGGTGAGGAGAGGAAAGAGGGGAAGACTACGGGAAAGAACTGGGTAGAAGTCACAGGAAGTCAGTTCAATGGAAGGTAGAATTCCCTCGAGTAATTAGAAGTGTATATATTAACTCATTTGGGTGAACTTATTAGGTAATGAGTTCATAGTTATTAAGTAAAGAATGTGTCTGACTTCTATTTGGGAATACAGCAGAAGAAAGAAAAGCTTTGAAGGTTAAGGTCTAGATTAAATAAGTTTCATGGTCTTTCTCAAATCTGAGACTCTATGATTTAGTTTTTCTATTATTGCATAGAGGGTTTTTATTTCATTCTTCTGTTCTTAAATAGATGAAAATTGGACATGACAATCTTTGTTTCTTCTCCTGCTGCCTTCTTTCCCTTCTCCTGCTCTCTCAATTCCTTTTCCTTTTTATTCCCTTTTAGGAAGTCAGGATAGAGTGGGAGCAATCCCCAGTTCTTTTTTTTTTTCCTGCTACTTTGTCAAGTCTTGATTGTGATGACTCAATCATGGCAGATATTATCATAACGAAGCTGCTTTGAAAACACCCTCAATAGCTTTCAGCAAAAAAACAAAACAAACAAACAAACAAAAAAACAACAACAAAAAAAAAAAAATAGCTTTCAGCAGAGATGACTGTAACTGGTAAAAGAGCTCCAGGCCCATTTCCCAAAGTCTGTCTTTGCTTTCCAAATGAACTTTACTCACTTAGCTTGGAAAGAGCAGACCACCCTATTCCTCTCTCTATCTTGATAGTTAAAATTGTTTATAAAGCATTGGCCATATATATTTATGAGAATGTATGTTGGAAGGAGTATTATTAATAATGGGTTATGTAAAAGTCATCTGCATAAGAGATAATGGGGTAAAAGTGTTGCACCAATGCTGGCTTGATTGTAGTTTGAGTAATTCTTTTTGCCACTAGCCTACCACCTGCCTTTACATACCATTGAGTAAGGGAAATAAGAACTTATCCATCAGCTTTATGATTCTCCCAGGCCCTGTCTATATTGACTTGGTCTGAGTAGAAACCACTTCACTAAAGCTATTTCTGAAGACTCCTGTAGTGCCCTGAGCATGAATCTGACCAAAACTAATTTAGAAGTTGAAGACCCTATGAGCAAAAATTGCTCTACCTATTTTATAAAATTCCTCTTTTCTACTGGGATACAAGTATTTCACTCAGCTCACAAGGGCTAGTCACCATAGCTCCTGCCATTTTTGAAAAGTGCTTAGTAAACAGTTGACTTAGGAAGACTCCTAGCTACCCATGTTTATGATCAGGAAAACTAGAAAGAGTATTGATGATAAGAGTATGACAGGGATAACTATTCAAGGACTGTGTAGGACAAACCTGACACAGATCCTGACAATATTCGAGGATGAGATATCTTCACCAACCACCATCTCATTTCCCACCTAGACCATACATATCATTCTGAACATTGGGAACGTGAGCTCCTATGTACCATCACAGAGGCTTACCGTATAGAAATCATACCAGCGGGCATTGGGGAAGTAGGCAGTCACATTCGAGGCATTCTACAATAAATTAGATAACATAAAAATAAGTACATAAATAACTGGGAAAATTGATCAAAATTTCCTAGAGGCATTAACATGATTAATAATCGCTACATTTAAGAGTATTCAAAAGCAAATATATTGTGGACTTATCATTTCTTGATTGTCTTCCACTGACCCCATGACTCAAGGGTAAGAGCGAGTATCATTCATTTGACAGATAAGGAAACTGAAGCCTCAAGAAAGATTTAAAGCTGCAGAACAATTCAATGCCAACACAAGGACTAGACCCTACCACTCAGAAGGCCACACTCAGACCCATTTCTACCATTCGATATTATATCTCAGTTTGGATCCTGAATAGGCTCAGGAGAACCCATACTCACAGGTTCCAGGACAGGGCTGATTAAGAAGGCTGGACCCCATAAGAATTGACGGAATATGTCCCACGTTTCTCTGTCTTCCACAAACCTGAGCAGAGAAACGTGGTGTCACAATTCAATGATAAAGACAATGTTCTCTCAGTCCACTGGATCACTGAAGTTACTGCTCAAAGGGACCTTAGAAATCAGTCCAACTTCCTGATTCAGACAAGTCTCCAGGGGGTTTGAGCTCCATCCAAGAAATGCCCAACATCCCTTCCTTTTGTGTCCTTTCTTCTTCCCCCAGGTCTAGTTTAATCAGGCACAGGTAAAGATATTAATCATTGTGCATTTGAAATATCAAGGTGACTGGCTTATTTCCTAGCCCCAGGGCTTTCTCCTACTATTATGTAGATGTTCAGGAAATGTTTTAAACTAATTGTAGCCTATCACACCCACAAAATGTAAAGTCAAATTGCTGACTTAAAAAGAAAAATATAATTTTCTATATCACTAAATGAAAAAGAAAAGACTTTTGGATTATCAAGGGTCCCTAAATCTTTCTTATGTTTTAAAAAAAGCAAAAATTATAACAAAATCATATGTTTATATAGTGCTTTGAGTTTTGCAGATTGCTTTCCTCACAGCAAACCTATGAGGTGGGAAGCTTCATTATCATTGTCCCCACTGGACAGATAAAAAAACTGAGCCTCAGACCAACAGAATGTGTGGTTTGCTTATGGTCACAACCTCCTGCCATAGCTGAAATAAAAATAAGAACAAACAGATCTTCTGACGCCAAGGTTCTTGCTCGCTTCCATGTGCTCCCTGTACCTAAGGACATACTCTATTTTAGAATGAATCAATGAATGAAAAAACACTGATCAAGTGCTCACTACATGCCAGACAGTGGAGAAACAAATAGAAAAGCAAGGCAGGCCCTGTTCTCAAGGACCTTCCATTCAAATAGGGGGAAGTAACACATGAGGAGCTTCGTACTGCAATTCAAAATGGAATCCAACATAGGACCCTGAGACACAGAGTGGACACTTACTCATGAAGCAGGGGCCTGACAACAGTGCTGCCTTCTACATGGGCCTTGTGCATCAGGGTGTAGAGATAAGGCAACAGGGCGTATCTTATCTGCAGGACATTTCTTGAAAGATCCTCAAAGGTGGAATTCCAAGCCACAGGGTCTTGTCTCTAGAGATAAAAGGAGGCAATACTCATACCAAACCCTTCACCTGACTTCACTTGGCAATAGGCTAGATAACTTGAGAGCTGCCCTCTACTACACAGGGAACCTGCGGAGCCAGTTATGCTCTGCTTCCTAATTCCCCAGACTACCATCCCCCTTGACCTTGGCTAGGGAAGACATTCTGATTCCTCTTTCCCTGAATTTCCTGCCCCTAAGTGCCACTAAAAATAGTTAGACCCCAATACAAAAATATATCTTGGGCAGCACAGACCAAATGTATATTTGTTCTCCAGCAATCTTACATTTCAGTAGGTTATATCCAAAGAGCACATGTGTGAAAGATTAGAGGGGCCCTGGCATTGTAACCTCCTGGAAGAACTGTGAAAACTTCCCAGAGTCAGAACAAAAAAGATCTCTGCTCTCTGCAATCTTTTTTTCTTGAGTTTCTGGTAGAAGTGAGATATTCCAGAAAACTCCGCCGGCTATGGGAATGTAGGTTACACAGTTTGTTGGGAAGGGAAGGACTGGTGACTACTGTGGTTGCTTGCAGGAAAGAGGGGCTCCATTAAGTCATGGAGGAGGAACTGAAGCAGGAGGTCTGGCACAAGGTCAGGCCTGAGGCACAAGATGGTATCTCACCCTGGGCCCAAGTGTATTGTGGTTCCTAGAGAAAGGGTAAAAGGCTCCCAGCTGCA